GACACTGCCCCACGGACCCGCCACAAGCCCGAGAGCGGTGCGAAGCTGGCCGCGGAGGAGGGGAGGAGCGTCCCTGGACGGCGGTGTAAGTGGACATGGCCCCTTCTGTCCCGATCGGCAGACTGAAATTGCGCTAGTTTATTCTTTCTTTCTTTCTTTATTACTTCTTTGGGGCGTCGCTTCCCCCCTGCTCCCCCACCCCTGAAAGTGTGTGCCCGTCTGTGACAGCTGCGTGCAGAGTTGTGGCTGCCAACTCGAGTGCACCAGCTGTAAACTGCAGAGCACGTGTAGGATCTTGCCATTTGGGTAATAAAGAAATTCCCACAAGGAGCAGTCTCTGAACAGCTGCTTTCCAGAGGGAAAATAAGAAAAAGGAAAAAAAAAAAAAAAGAAAAAAAAAAGTTTAGACTTTGGAAATCCATGTGGTTTTGTGAACATCCCTAGCTGCATCCCGAGAGTGACAGGTACCAAAGGCATCATCCCTTGAGGTAGGCATTTTTCTCTCCAGGTTCCTGTGCTGCTATTTCATGGTCAAAATTAAGTCCCTGGGGAGATCCAGAACCTCCCTCTGGTCTTTCCCTCTCCCCTGCTTCTCTCCTTCCTTTCCTCCTGCTCCTGTGGCATTCCCAGGTGGTGTGGGGACCCTGCGGCAGAGGATCAGTACCTGAGTGTCCGTCACCTCAGCTCCAGCCTCTTGGTCCTCAGCTGCCCGCAGAAACCACCACTGGATTTCAAGGTACACTGAAGCAGAGCCACTTTGGAAAGCACAAGACATCTCCACGTTCTGCCCTTCAGTGGCTGTGACATTTCGGGGAAACTCAGTGAATTTTGCTGCAAAACAAATGCATAACATGTTGGAATCTCCTGTTACCTACTTATTGTTTATTTTCTGCTTTTTGTGTTGCCTTTTTTCTTCTGTCTCTTTGGGTTGTTGTTTGGTTTTTTTTCCATTTTAATTAATTTCTCCTCCCCCCCCCCCCCATTCCTCCTCTTTTCTGATTTTCCAGTTTCCTCACGCATTATCTCCCCTGGTTTGTCTCACACCTAAGAATGTCTCTCCTCTCTTATGCACAAATCCACCTTCTTTACACTCAAAGCTCTGCTTATGGGAAATGCTATAGGCTCCTCTATTTGCTCCCTTGGGCTGGTAAAGTTTCATGCAATTAGGTCCAAATACCCTTGGGCAGAATGCAGTATTTCACCAGGCTCGCTGAGGCATTTTGTACAAGACCAATTTGGAAGGGAAAAAAAGTCAAGCTGATTTATTGTATTTCATAGGGCTGAGCTGGAGATTTGTAAATTGTGAAAACTTCCACAGCTGACTGGAGCGGCTGTTGGAATGGGCACTCTTCTGAGGTGTGGGTTATGACCACTCATCAAAATGTCCATTTCAAAGGCTTTACCTGAGTTAGTTACTCTTTCTGAGAACCTCCGCTTGCATAACCAGACCAAGGAGCAATGCATCTGTTTTTCAGTCCTGGCAGACGCTTTCTAGAACTAACATTCACCCTTGCATCCCGGTCCTTTAAATAACAGGATCTGCCCATCTCAGTGTAACACTACTAGGTTTAAAAACTAATCCTAATGGACATAGTCCAGGGCATGAGTATTTATTCAAGTCTCAGTCTTTACTTCTCATCCTTTCCTGTAACTCACTTTAAAATTGTGCAACATAATTAAGCATGATAATCAAGTGAGGAGGACTACAGACAGACAATGTGATAAATAAAACCTGTGTTTCAAAAAGAGGAAAATTTGAAAAGACCTTGCAATGTTGATTTCTGTTATGCATTGTAACATATTGACTGGAGCATATTATGATGCGAAGGAAATATTGCCCATTGTCTCCTCCCCTCTTTCTCTCTATTTATCCAGTCTTCCTATCTAAGCTGGAATTGGTGGGATAATTTAGCAATACACTCAACCGCTGTTACTTCTTTCCTCCCTTACATTTATGCTTGGCAACAGATACTTAGCAAAGCTACTAGCTTTATATTTCACAATGTCTCTTTCTCTGTCCCCCCTCCCCCACCAGTCAGGGCTTACTGGTCACTGAGTTTAACTGACAAAACGACTGTGCATTTTGTGTATTTGGAGCTTGTGAGTTTGTTTTGTTTGGGGGTTTTTTGTTTGTTTGTTTGGTCGTTACCTCCCCTCCTGGTCAGTGCGTGCGAGTTGTGTGGGGGCGTGGAGGGGAATACAGCCAGCATCCTCCTCGACCGCACCGCCAAGCGCAGCCCG